CAAGTCAATCTCATCTTTTTCGCTCTCTAAAATTTTACAGGACCATACAAAGAAGGAGGAGCTGGCTGGAATCTTTTCATACATCACACATCTTGTCAAGTACAAGGACAAACACTCTCTAGAAGGTTTTTCATCTGCAAAGAGTCACAAAATTCCTGGCATGTTGTTCCAAAAATTTTCTTCAATGTTTGGTGTTTCAGAATCGAAGAGACTTCCTGCTGAAAAAGTTGATCTCCTCATCAGTTATGTACTTGTTCTTACTCTCTACGTTGACAACTTCCGAACTGATCCATTCGACATAGCCAAAGACCTCAGAATGTCCAAGGCACAGTTAAGGCCTCGTTTTGAGTTACTGGGTTGCAAATATATTCGTGACAACAAAGTTCCTGTAGTCACACTTCCTGTTCCTTTGAAATTTGCAACAATGCAGAAAAAGCGAAAGAAGGCGCGTGGTTGAATGTTTTGTGTGTATCCTAAAACCAACCATGCACTCATTTCTGCCCTTTTTGTTTGACATTTTTGCATGTATGTAATGAGCAGCTTGTACTCTACATAGAATTATGGTTATTTTTCTAAATATGGTGTGCTGGTCTTCAATCAGAAGAGGCACCAAGCCATATTCATGGATGAAAATCCTTTAAGAAGGAAACCATTTTATTAGCTAAATTTGAGGTTTCTTTTGCTACGTAATATTTAATAACTAATCTAGGATAATGCCATACATGAAACTACTTTTAATAAATTAGTAAATAGTAACAAGATTTGTTGGTGAATATTTGGATGGATCCTTGGTTATTGGGTGCTTTAAATCCATGACCCTCTTCGGTGGTTGTTCAAGGGCTTGAAGAATGTAATGTGGCAGGCTTGTTGAATGATAAACGGGCTTGGGATAGGGACCTCAATAGCCCTCCCAGATGCAAGGGCTTTTTAGGATAGGGGTGGACTTGGGTCGGGCCGCCTGGCCCAGAACCGGACCGGCCCGGTACTGTTTGGGCCCAGCCGGGTACCCGGTCTTGGGACCGGTTCGGGCCAACTGTGTTTTTTTCCCAATTTTTTTTGGTTTCTACTGGGTAGGGCTGGGTGTTTGGGGGGGGGGGGGGGGGTGAAAGGGGGGGGGGGGGTCGGGAGTAATTTGGAAAAACAAAAGAAAAAATGACATTGAACCGGAAACCGGCCCGGCCCGGCCCGGAACCGCCGGTCACCCGGGCCGGTTCCGGTTCCCTACTTCCCTAAAAGCCCGGCCGGGCCCAGGCCTGAACCGGAACCGGCCCGGGTCCATCCCTATTTTTGGAAAGGTGGTGCAGAGCTTAGGAGGAGGCTCGAAGGAGGAGCATACAAGTGGGGGCTTGGCGAGCACATCAGAATTGAGTCGGTTGAAGCTGAATTCGGATGGATCATTTTTAATTAATCGGCAATATTTGTGGTCTGGGTTGGGTGGTGTGGGATAGTGAGGGTTTCTTTGTTACTGTGGAGCACACAAATGGTTTGGAGGTACCCTAAAGGCAACCGAGGCTCTTTCCATCAGGAAGGCGCTCAGCTGGTTGAGTTGTTAAAAGCATTACTTCTACTGTGGATGACTCATCTTGGGTTTAATATAAAGGAAAGATCTCAACTAGTTTTATTAGTATTTCTTATTCTCATATGAAGCGATCTAACAGAGGCTGTTTTGGCTTTATAATTATCCATCTTGTATTACGACTTCCATGGATTATGATTTCATCAATAATGTTTAACTAGTTTTCATCCAAAAAAGTAACATGATTAGTTTTCTTATAAATACTGTATTAAATAGGCCTATACTATAGACAAATACAACAATAAATTAAAGGAAAAATTGAAAATAATAATCCCAATTATTACCAGTGCGCTATTAAGTATTAATAATCTCAACTATCAATTATTTATGGGTGGTCCCAACTATAGGGGTTATTTCCCTAAAATAATCCCTAACCTGCTACAACCTGGTATAGCAAGTCAATTTTAAATACGAACTATGCGTAAGCTATAAATAATCCCAACTATAGTTGATCTTCTTTTATTAATTCCATCTATCAACTCTCAATTTTAGAAAAATATAAAAATATTTTTATAAATTTCCAAATTAAATATTTTTAAACATGTAAAAATAATCATTAAATCCTACAAATGTATTGAACTTAAAAAAAATAGTCATTTTTTTTTATTTATTTTCACTAAAATTTCATTCGTTTTCTTTTTTCCAATTTATTTTTCCTAGTTGTGTTAACAAGTTATTATTTTCCTTTATTCAATTTTTCACTTTGTGTTGTCAAAAAGTATATTGTGATTAAAAAAATTACGATTTAAATCTTTATTCTAGATGTTTTCATGAAAATCTATTTTATTAAACTTTTATGCTATCATAAATTGTAAAAATCAAAATTCTCTATTTTTCAATTTTAGTATTTTTAATTGGGGGTTTTATTTGAGTATTACTAATTTTGAACCAATTATAAAAAAAGTGAGCACTTTTGAAAAGGGGCAAAAAAAGTGATCAAGGTCATATTAATGTCATTCCCAGATTTCAGTGTCACTATCCTGTTTTAATGTCACTATCAAATGTCATTGCCGCCACCGCCGCTTGTGTCACTGTAACCACCGTCCGTGTCACTGTAGTCACCGCCCGTGTCACTATAGTCACCGCTCGTGTCACTAACGCCGTGAAACATGTCACTATGGTCGTTTTCGTTTAGCGACGCAGTCCACCTTAGACCCCGCTAGTTCCCATCATTGAAGTCAGGGTGTGGTTCCCTGAACGCCCGGCACAACGGGGGTTGTTCCCGCAACACCCCGCCTCCCTACCCTCCCCCACTACCATCACCACAGCCCTGCACGGCTGCACCACCCCATCAACCCAACCCAGCCCCAGCCCTGCCTTCATCAGTCATCAACCCAGCCCTAGCCCCACAAGCAGTGCCCCATCCCCCATCAGCCCTGCCCCACATGCCACACCACCGGACCTGCCGCAGCCCTCAACCCCCAAAACCAACCGACGGTCCCCAACCCTAGCCCCCAACCGCCATCCCACAACGGCAATCCCAAACCTCCGCCAATAACTCAATTCACCGCCCTATGACCCAAATCACAGATCTGAAAATTCAGGGAGAGGACGGCAGTGAAAGAGATGATCCGTCTGCGAAGGGCGGCGACAGAGACGCTGTCTGGGCGAGGACGACGAAGTCCAGGGCGGCGGAGGCGGCAATCCGTGTGCTCTGTCCATGGTGGCAATAGATCTCAAGGCGGTGGCTTTGTCCTCCATGGCGGCAACAGAGCTTACAGGCGAGATGCAAGATGGTGATTAGCGCTGCTACATCAAAGCCTTCTCCGTCCATGGGATTCAATTCGTTCGTAGAAGGAATGAAGAAGGGGAGCCGGCGATTTTGAGAAGAAGGGGGAGCGAACAATTTGAGAAGGGGAACGGACAAGTTTTTAGAAAAGGGAGAAGCCACTTTTCAGTCAAAAAGAAATCCAATCACATTTATGCCTAATAGAAGTTGTGAGGTCATACTTGTGCCATTATTTCTTTTTAATTGCTTTCTATTATTTTATTTTATGTTATTATATTCTATAGTTTGTCATTGAATTCTAGCGATTTGGGACATAAGTTTTGGAGATTTTGGCTATGTTAATGAAAATGTATTAATATTTAAATTTTAAGTTATACAGTTTTTCTACATTTTTTACAATTGCTAAAAACCTTAACTCTATTGTAAGAGCCTAAGAGGTTACCATACATTGTGAAGTCCACTCTTTTACCTACATATTTTCTATTTAGGATTTTCTTCCAATTAATAAAATGATATGAATTTAACAACAAAATCCAAAAAACATTTTCTTATACTTTATTGTTTCAGGTGTTAGTAAAAAACATAGTTCTTACTTTGGCCCAATTTTTTTGGATAGATGGAAGTAGCGTTGGGATCCCTAAGAGCATCTCCAATGCTACAATGTGCATGGTGCACATGTGGCATGTGAGAAATAGACACAAAAAATTGAATTTATGACATTTCTCTCTCATTCTTCCACGGTTTTATGTGTTTTTGGTAAGTTTTCCTCTGCAATGTCAAACACAATGTCTACATCTAGACATTGTACTTGACATTGTGAAGAAAAATTTTACCAAAATGATACAAGATCCTTCAAATAAGGAGAGAGATATTCCATTTATTATTTTTTAATTGGTTATCTCTCATGCCACATATGCACCGATTTTTATCTATCTAAATCTCTCAATGAAAAACACTTTAAGATAACTAAATAGGTAACCTGAAAACTCAGAACTATTAAACTAATAGACTATGGGAGTGTTTGCAATTGCTTCAACTTTAAAAAAGTGATTTTTTAAAGTGATTTTGGGAAAAGTGATTAATAGTAAAAGTTGGTAGTGTTTGAGAAAAAAGTGATTCTGAAAAAGTAAAAGTTGGTAGTGTTTGGTAAAATAAGTACTTTTGTGTAATAGAAAAAGTGAGAAACAGTTTAAAACACCCTTCTACCTGCTTCCAGCTTTTAGCTTTTAAGTGATTAATTTAAACATAAGCTGTCATTTGAAAACACCCTTTTCAACTTTTTTTAAGCCAAAAGCTGAAAAGCGCTTTTTTTAAGCAACCCCAAACACTCTTATATAGGCTAAAGAAGGAACAAGGATTCACTGACCCCCTACCTATGACTTTAAATCTTTAATGTTCATTTTTTATTTAGTCAACTCAAACTAGAATGCCAGTAGGAATTCTTTTATGAGTTCCATTTACACTACTAGACCATTCAAAGATATATCCATTTGCGCAATAGCACATACTTGCAATATTGCCAAAATCCAAAATGTATCTCAGGAACACAAAAAATCACATTTCTACAGCCAATTTTACAACTTCCTGTCAATTTTTGCTAAAGGAATAGTCAGTGACAAAAAATTGACAAGAAAGCCATACCATGGATCTAAAGTGAGAACATTGAAAGATAGGCACCAAAAGTGGAATGTTTTCTTTAAAGACACTCCCAAGTTTTGATTGGCAAAGTTTCTATTATGTGATAAAAGTATTTACAACTCCATATTTCTACATATAAAGTACGCATTATATTTATACATAAACATATACCAGCATCCGAAAGAAAAAAAGTTATTTGTTAAGTGTTTCTACAGATAAATGTACTCAACACTATTGCCATACACACACTTTAAGCCCATATGAAAAAAGAAATGGACCAAAATTATGTAATAATAATGACAATGTACTTCATGCCTTACGTGAATTATACTAGAGGTGATGATGAATAATATGTCATCTAAGATTTGGTCTTGAACTTCCTTTGCGCTTTCAAGTCCACAACAATGACAGATATGTTATCTCTGCTTCCCCTCTGGAGGGCAAGCATGGAGAGGTAATCCGCTGCAGCTTGTGCAGCAGGGTCAGATCCTGTGCCCCTCTGGAAAGGAGTTGACCCGTTCTTTTTGTGCCATATTAGAATCTTCTTTCTGGCGGCTTCACAAGCTTCCTCGTTTGTCATCACATCCCACAAACCATCACTGGCCAAAACAAGGCATTCATCTTCTCTGGCACGGGGAATGAACATTACTTCTGGTTCTGGTATAATCCATGGTTTCAAGTATCTGTCACCTGAGCATAAATGGTGGATAAGCATTAAAATTGCAGGCATTAGGCTCTGCTCGGTAGCCAGAATAAGTAGCTTTAGACTTTCTTATTTGGCTGAAAAAGAACTGATCATCATTATTACTTTCAGCCATATAATTCTTACCAAACGACCCTTCACTTGGTTTAAGTAAAAGATGGGCCACACTGCAAAACTGTGCTAGTGCCTAATGGGGAAAGCATAGTAATAAAAAAACGATAAAATCCATATAAGCATTCATAGGATATTAATAGAGCATTATTAGAACCCTTTGGTTATGTTTGGATCCCGAAAAATGCTGGGGGAAAGGGGGGAAGTGTTGTTGTAAAATTATTCTTGGTTCTTAGATGCAAAAAAGAAAACGAACTATGATTAACTTTTAGTTTTTTTCTTTCACATAAAATTAGATTTGGGATAAGGGTCAGATAGGGCCTCGAACTTGGAAAAAAATGTCAATTAAGGCCATATTTAGGATGCTATGTCCGGTTGACGTCATTTGGGGCGGTTCCCGGTGGAATTTTTTGATGAATTTTTTTGAGAATCTTATTCATTAAGTCTAGTTTACTCATATCAAATTTGAACTAACAATTCAATCGGGAAAGCATTCAAATGAATTTTTGAAGATAACTGTGCTTTTAACTGCACAGTTATCTTCAAGAATTCATTTGAATGCCTTCCCGATTGAAGTTTTAGTTCAAATTTGATATGAGTAAACTAGACTTAATGAATAAGATTCTCAAAAAAATTCATCAAAAAATTCCACCGGGAACTTCCCCAAATGGCGTCGGCCGGACAGAGCATCCTAAATATGACCTTATTTGACATTTTTTTTCAAGTTCGAGGCCCTATCTGACCCTTATCCCATTAGATTTTTATTTTTATTTTTCTGTTACAGTTATAAATAAATAAATTGACTATGAATAAATATCTAAAATAAATTAATTTGAGTTTCAAGCATATCTCATATTCCCCAAAACTTTATTTCCTTTCATTTTTCCTCTCCATCTTCTTTCTCTGGTACTTCCTATGTTCCACACAGACCCTTAAGACAGAGTTGCTTGAATGTCTACCTACCAATAGCCCTTGACATTGCGAGGACACCAAAAACACGATGGCCATTCCACTGTATAACCTTGCCCCCCGAAGCTTCAATTCTTGTATACTCATCTTTGCGATTTGGCTGAAAAAAACATACTAGTCATCATGAGCACCTTAATCAAGAGTTGTTGGGGCCACTGACATTAAATTTTCAGTGACAATTAATACCATTATGCTCACTAACAGTACAAATTAAACATCGGTCGCCAAACTAGTCATCGTGAAAATACCACTATGGCCATTCTTATTGAAAGTTATATTTCTGTTTTTTGTTTTTATTTTAGTCATATATTTGTCATTTATTCATAAGTAAACACAGTGGCAATGTAAATAATTGCACTATTCAGGTGACGAAACATCTTACTTTATGATCAATTGACAAAGCCATAGCTTCTTTACCACGATAGAGAACAGCTCTTGAATCCCCACAATTTGCAACTACAATATGTGAAGAAGAAATCACTGCAACCACTGCCGTGGACCCGACAGTTTCAGGGGCAATAATGCTAGATGTGCATTTAGGAGCACTCGTTTCTAGCCTACTCGTTTCATCTCCCGGCCTCACTTTTCCTCCAACTTCATCATCAACCTTCAGAAAGCAGCTTTTGAAGACTCTCTCCCACAGCAATTGCCTAACATCCCTCACGTTGATATCACAACTTATGGGATCATCTTTGCAAAATTTCAACTCTTCTGCTAAAGCCAAATGGATTCGTTCTTGGCAGTAGCTGGCTACCTGCAAGAAACCTGATTAGTCAAGTCCATCACGGAAGACAAGTGCTCCTAAGCCAGTGACAGTTGGAATAGTTGAATGCGCTTTTTATTGGTTTCATAATTAGTGGCCGTTCGGTAGGCACTTTTTAATAAAAATAGAGTTGTAGATATTTTTTTGGCTTGAAGTTGGTGAAGCTGCTTAAAATTATCATAAAGCCTCGTTTTTCCATGTATAGTTTATATAGTTACTTTATCAATAAATAAATACAAACAAAGCATTCATTTTTCACAATTGATGAATTTCCGAAACTTCATCAATCATTGAATGATTCAATACAGCCAAAATGTCAGCAATTTAAGCAACTTCAGCCAATTCAGCAATATTAACACGCTTACAAAACAGGCTTTTAAGTCTATACAGGAGGAAAGGAACAAAGGTTAATTTTTCTAGAGATATAGAGCCCGTTATGTAAGGGTTACGTGGCTGAAATTTCTGCTCACTTTTCTGAAAGAAAGAACGCTCCGTGAAATTAATACCAACCAAATAAGTAAGTCATCAATGATTGCCTATTCTGCTAATAAGCAGAATAATCTAGTTAATGCTACAAATTGGGGCCATATATAGTAGAAAGAGGCAAACCTGTGATCCTCCATGACCATCATAAACTCCAAAAAAATGAGAAGTAAGGTGACTCAAAGTTTGGCTGAATCCATCCATCACATGATCCCCAATAAACATCTTAATAGGAATCCTCATAAAGTTTGGAGCTGCCGTTGTAGCATCTTCCATTTCTTGGCTCTTTCCACATATAGACACACACCCCCAAATTGGTACACAATCCAGCTCATACACACTCTTCACGCCACACCCTTTGCCATGATCCTTCTCGCCGGACAAGGGAAGAGCCACAACAGACGCTTTTATCGTAGTGGGACTCGAAGAAATGTCCTGTTCCTCCAAGCTGATTACCTTAGCAACAATTTCGCCATTATCAATGCCTTCAAACTCAACAGCAATAGGCAATCTCATATCTGATGTCAACTCCTCACCATTAATTTCATTTGTCTCTTGAACAGATAAGATTTTTCCAAGTTTCAAGACAGAGGGCGAGTGATTATCAGCCGACGATCCTCCTCCTACTACTAAGGAATCTCTACCATTAACATCAACTTTCACACCATTGCAACTACTTCCATCAGTCACAATTTTGAGTCTAGTTATTTCCACATGGTTTGTGGGGCTATCAACAATTGTGTTACTTAATCGGACTGTCACGGCAACTGCTGGAGACATCTCTTCCATCAATTCCCCCAATTTTTAATGGTGAAAATAAAATCTCAAAATACACAAAAGAAAAAAATCAGGTTATCTGGAGACGGCATATATGGATCTAAGCTGTCAGAACAGAAGAGAAAGCAGAGCTTGAGTTATTGCTTTTCTATACTATATACCTTGAACTAGGAAAACGTCAATTCCCTTACAGATGAGAATCAAACCAAGCATACACAAACTCACATCTCCACCACCAACCCTTATATAGACAGAAAAAGTGAAAAAAGAAGAAGACAAAGACAGAGACAAAGTCAAAGCTTATCCACAAGATTTCAATCAGGGGAAAGAAAACGTGATCATTAATGATTAACATATATAAGAAACAAAACAGTCCAGACATCCCAAACCTCAAGAATCACATGGAAAACCCTAAAATGATGGTTCCTTTTTGACAAATGGAACATGGGTTTCATGGATCTGAGGCAATACTTCTCAACCTCAAAAAAGTTTTAAGCTTTAAATAAATTTAAAACAAAACACACAAAGAACTTGAGTTACAGTTTAAAATGAATTGTAGGGAAGGTGAAGGGAGCCAGCCAGGTACATACAATTTCTCCTGATTATATATAGATATATAGAAGCAGGATTTGAAATTACTGTAGTCTGGAATGAAAAAGATAAGCGCTTGACAGATGCATACCAACATTAGAAACCCGAAATTGCTTATGTTCCCTCCAGATTCTTTTTCTGTTGGCCCTGAGCTTCTTCCACTCTGAGTTTTGTCTTTGAGGGAGAGAGAGAAGGGGGTGTCTGGTAGAAGAGCATTTGGCGATTGGATACATGGAGATGACACGTATACATTCAATTATCTAACTCCAATCAATGCTCTCCGCACACTTAAAAATGCTTTCCTACTGTGGCGCCTTCTTCTTCCCATTAATCTTTTATTTTTCAACTCTAACTTTGTATATTCAAAAATGATTTCGTATAGTAGTTCCTCTCAAGAGTATTCACATTCATGATTTTAAAATAATCTGATTATTTGTGACTCTAACCTTTTAAAATTTTCCACATAAATGTTTTGGAAATAATCACATCCCCTCCGAATTACCTTCAACCATCATCCCGAAATAATCTGATCTTTTGTGTGTCCTGTAGCAACTAATTAACTCTAATTTCATAGATAATCTCAAAATAATCCGGTTTCATATTTCGATCTCGGATTATTCTATCAATTAATTCTGTCCAATAATCTCTCTCACTCAACCATGCTCTCCCAAATAATCTGCCATGTCACTAGATTAATCACTTAATAATCTTATGGATGGTGATGTCCTTACTTGCATTGATGCGATCATTACTCCATATTTTATTAATTAATAAAAATATCAAATTTACTACTTAAAATCATTTATTTTAAAGAAATGTGATATTTTAAGTTATTCCTAGTCCAAGTAATTTATGTTCAATTATTGTATTAATAGACTAATGACAATGACAACATAATAATTCAATCATTAAGTCATGTTTTTACTTTCGACTAAATGACAATGACAACTTAATAATTCAATCATTAAGTCATGTTTACTTATGACTTAATTAAAAACATGACTTAATCATTCAGTCAAAAAACTGATTTAGTCATTAAGCTAAAAATAGTAGTCATTGCCATTAAGATGTCTTTTAAGACTTTTTTCCGTCAATTTTTTCACATTGATTGGGTAATAATAGATTTATATTACAGAGTAATAAATAAGTTTTTCATTAACATTGTAATCTAAGAAAAATACTTAAAATGATTATTTTACACAATTCAGATTGTTTATTCAACATACAAAATAAACAACGTCATATATAAATCCCTTAATCCAGACAGATATCTTGCCCATATAGACGTCAATCCAGATAGGACTTAATGGAAAATTTGACAGATTTTTTTTTTGACTTTTACCAATATGATGATATTTGAACATAATCTACACCGGTCCAGGGGTAGAATATGAAGTTGGAACATATATATTACTAGGGGTGAGAAAATATACCAAAATTGCGATATACGGCACTTAGTGTATCTAAAAATACAGAATTTACCGAAATGCTGGGTATATCGACACTTTTGGTGCGATATGGTACCATACTGAATACTTCGGTATGGTATCGGTATATATTTTGAAAATATACGGTATACCGTCATACTGTAAATTCTAGCCAATAATTTCTTTAAAATTATAAAAATGACTAGACACACAACATCAATTCAAGAATAGATGACTTTATATCCATATTTCTTGAATTATTATACTTTTTGTTGGAGATCAATGTTATTTTATTTAAATCTATGTTGATTAAATAATTTTAGGACAATATGTTGTTATCTTCATCTATCATGTGTTGAAATATCTAAACATTATTATAATAATTTTGTTCAAAATAGAACAGAACATCAATAGGTTATCATTAGTATTCCACCATTGATTTCATTAATGATTTTAGTATATCACTACTAAACACTAATTTTCTATATTTCATTTAGCATATTATAATTTCTTATATTAATTATGATGATTTATCGATGTTGTACTATTACCGTACTGAAATTTGATATCCGGAACAACTCAACAAGGTATACCGAAATTTCAATATAATAGCGGTATGAATTTTAGCATACCGAAAATGTACAATATGGTAAAGATATGTGATAAAATATTCAGTACACCGTACCGAACCCCATCCCTATATATTACAGTCCAATTTTTTGATTTAGGAGAAACTTTAGGCCTATTTTTGTAGTAACAGCCATTATTACACATATACCAATTCGACAATTTGCTATCAAAGTTTTTCACGTTTGTTAAACCCACTGCTTAATTGCTTCCGTTGGCAAAACTCTTCAAGCCATATAATTGTCCTCATTCATATATAGAATCATAGTTGGCTTACTATGGTTAAATTCCGTGCCAATCCATTTGGCTCGAGCTGGATGGCTGGGAAATTTTTCCGAGCCAAAACCGTGCCAAACCCGTTAGTCTGGGAATATTGTGAAGGATTCCGAGCCAAATTCCTTGCCTATAGCGAATTTTTTTTGTAGTACTCTTAAACCGTTTCTTTTCTTTTTCAAACATTTAACTCCTTTTGTGACATCACGAGGGTATTTGACAATCACCACTGATTGTTTTGTTAACTGATGGTCGATTGTATTACGACAGATTGTGTTAGTCGTTTACTTTTGACCAGGCATTATCATTGACGGATTGAAGAAAAATGTTTGGTAATTTAGTTGTTCTGATTAACTATTAAGATGTGAAATAACTATCAAGGATACACATAAAAAATATTCGAAACATATGAATTCAACTTAATATTTTATAGAGTTTTTATATATATAAAATAGAGTATTTTTTATTAGTACATTAACTATTACTCAGTATTTAATATAATTATTACTATTGTTGTTTTTAATATGTATATGTGAACACACAAATACACACACATACATACATTCTTAAACACTATTTTTTAGTATTATATACACACGAAATCATTTATCTTTAGTATTAAGGACGTTTTTACTTGGACTGTAATTTGCTGGTCTGGTCTGATTTCTTTGTATTTTTTATAACTATTCAAGTCTGGTCTGGTCTGGGACGAATTACATTCCAAGTAAAAACATCTTAATATGTTAAATATGATCACATGCTAGTAGGATTTTTTTAGCGCATGGTAATAACAATAAATAATAATTAGGAATATCATATAATTCCCCCGTAACATTTATATCTTCCCACTTTCCTTTTTTTGGTCGTAACAATTATATCTTATCATTTCTAAATCTTCTCATCATATCCTCAATAATTTTTGAAAATAATACACTATTACAACTACTTTTTTGGATTTATCCTTCATTCCAGAACACGATTTCATTATCTTCCCATCATACTCTCAATAATTTATAATTTCTATCACTATTCTTAATCTCATCTACTCTTAAGCGGGAAGATATATGTCTTAAAATCACGAGGAGGTAGTATGTAGTGGGTGAAAATTGGGAGGAAATGGGCGAGGTTTATTAAAATCGTGGCCTTCAATTTCCATGAGACAAGAGTCAAGAAGGGCACGTGTCCGTGGTTGACAGGTCTGCAGCCATTGTTCTCAACAATCATGCATGTGTGCCCTTATTTATTTTATTTATTAACTCTTTCCAAAGAAGAGAAAATATGGCCTTTATTTATTTTATCTTCTCAGAATATATCACACAAGTGTTAGAATGATACTCCCTCCGTCCCATAATTATCTTCATTCTTTCCTTTTTGGTCCGTTCCAAATTTATCTCCTCTTTCCCTTTTTAGCAAAGGATTTGTGGTTCACAACCATTCTTACACATTTCTCTCTCCTCTGCACAACTCTCCACCACACATTTCCCACTTTCTTAATCTCCGTGCCCAGTCAAAACCGAAGTTAATTCTGGGACGGAGGGAGTACGTAGTAACCAATAAGCCAGGTATATATCCCTATCTCTCACAGTCACACAGTTATGTTACACGTCTAAAAGTTATGTCCAAAACTACTACTCCTCTTTCCCAATTTATAAAGCGTCTTGTCTTTAGACCTATAATAACAATAGGATGAGATATCCCCTCCCAATTCATCACGTTTATAGAATCATCCATAAGAATATAAGATGAGATCTATTATTCCAATTCGTCACGTTTATATTCAAATATAAATTGATATTAATCCACTCGAAAGAGAAAAATCAGTGTAATTGAGTAAGTTGTCCCTTGATAGCGTTTCTATTATTATGTTTGTAATTGTTAATAGAACATAATTTAATTTATTAATTACTATACGTACGTATGTACATTATTTGTATACTCCGTATATTATGTTCATGGCTCATCCTCCAAGATTAACCATGGTTTCTCGGTAAACCGTAGTGATATAGTAGAGAGAAGAGAGAGCTAAGAGTAGAGCGAGAGAAAAAGTGTTTTGTATTAAATGAGGTTTGAACCATTTACAAATAAAAAATGAGCGGTGCATTAGATGAACATATACGTGTTGACTGTTCTATGGGCGAGAGCCATGTGAAACAGTGTGACACATGTCATTCTTTACGACTTCTGGCCAGGTTGACCGAGGTTATAGATGTTGACCGAGGTGCACTTCAGATCTGGTGTTCTTCCTACCCCTGAGCGATTTTGTTTGGGATCTCTGGACAAGCCTGACCTCCGAGGTGCCATGTTTGAGGTGATATATGTTGACTAGTATGGACAATAGTTGTATATCCGCATTCTGGACTAAATTTGGTTGAGAAGTCCAGGTGGTGTAGCGGGCCGGGTTTGGGCCGTTGTGTTTCATTGAGTATGTGGACCGTCGGTTTGAGCTCATATACTCTATCAATAGTACTATGGCTAAAGACGACTCCAAAAAATGGAATGCCACTCGTACACTCTGGCACTCCAAATACAAATTTTGTAAGAGATAGAGAATTATCTCTCGTTACATGTTACATAAAATGTCATTCATTATGATAATTACTAAAGTTCTACATCATGCTTATGGCACCAACACATATAGAATGAAAAGGAGCTGGACTCTAGCTAGTGTTTTACTTGTGAACCAAATCAAATAATCTCAATATCATTTACACAACAAAACCTGCAAGAAGGATAAGAAAACTCTGATGGACACAAACACTTGCCTATTTCGATGACTAATTAAAGAGTAAGGTAATACCCTCTGTTAGTATCCTCTTTGTTAGTACTAATAAGAGAGAATTAACCTAATAGGACTAAAACTTGGAACAAATGCAAAAATAGGACTCCTATGTTTAAATTGCAAAACTATGACTACAAATTACCTAATTGGACAAAAATACCCTTAATGATTATCGATCCAGTACTTAACCGGCAGACTAGAATTGGCGATAATATTGCTGCATACATCTGATCGACTGGTCCGGTAGAAAATCCATTGCAGCGCACCGTCCAGGTGATCTCTTTTTCCTCTTTCCATTCTTCTTCCTTCTCCTTCTTTCTTCTTCCTCGTTCTTCTTCCTCATGTTCTTCTCATCTTCTTTTTCCAGATCCTTGTTTCTTCATCTTTCAATTTGTTTATTGGTAATTCATTTACTATTTAAGATTATAAATCAAAATACTGCTTTGGATATGACAACTTGAGATAAAAACGACAATTCAACAAACGGTCATGATCAGAAAAATTTGGGTTTGGGTTTTTATTACTTATTTGGTTTTTGATTAGATATGTTTATGAAAAGGCCATAAATGCTTGTTATTAGAAAAAATGTCACTTTTATGTCATTATATTATATCAAGATGTCAATATTTTAATGACATGTTTTAACTGGATTGCAAAATTTTGTCATTTTTAACAATATTATTTCTGAAAATTCCATGATGATGTAAGTTTCATATAAAAACATGACATTCTCTCATATCAAGTGGCATTCCTCAGGGAGGTCTGCACAGAGTCACTGGAGGGCAGATCTTTTGTCACTTTTATGTCATTACAATATTTGAAAATGTCATATTGAGAATGTCATGTTTCTACCTGAACAAAAACAAAAGTATGTGATTTTTTTACATTCAACCTATCCTTAAATGTCATATAAAAAAGAAACATGCCAATTTGTAAAAAATGATATCTTGTTTACAGTGACGTTAAAATAATGTTAGCATTTTGGAATAGAAAGATGACAATTACATTTGTTAATACATGTCATTTTTTAGCAGGTCAAAACTGTCATCGTAACAAATGCAATACCATAAAAGTAGCATTATTTTTAAATTACACTATTTTGTCAAACGGGCAAAAACATGACATTTCTTATATTTTAACTTCAAGGTGACATTGTCATTTTAATGTATTTGTGACATTTTTCAATTCAATTTTAAATAGTTATGAAATTTTCAAATTCTAAAATAAAAAATAAGGGTTTTTTACAAGAATATTACTAAAATAAAAACATATTTACATAAATATGACTATTCATTTCAACAATGTGGTGATGTAGTAACTTAAACTCAAAACTTGAACATGAATTACTATGATTTCATTACTACTCTAGTAAATAATCATTTTTTTGTAAATCATCTTTATTTTGGTCATATTTATATAATTATTTCAAAAAAATAAATTAAAAATCCAATAAAAAAAGTTCGAACACTCTAACCTTGTTCAATTCCCATCCCCTCCAACCTTATCTAATTGCCATCCAATTTATCAGATCTAATTGAATCCCAAGAGATAAAAACAGAGTACGGCCAACAAGGAAACGAAAGAGAGGAGAAGAGAGGAGAAGAGAGGAGAAGAGAGGAGAAGAAAAGAGAAGAGAAGAGAAGGAGAAATTACTTGATTCCATGGGTAAAATTGTAGAAGGCTGGCGGAGATGGAGAAGACTGGCGGTTGCTATGGCTACTGTACCAACGAGCGGCGGATACGGTTGTGGTACCAATGAGCGGCGGCGGCAATGGAAGACTAGAAAACCGCTGGAGAACTTGTTGATCATGACCTGAGGTCTCTGATGAAGAAGGACAGAACACCTCTCAGTCCCCAGATTGCTAATTTCTAATATGTCCGAGGCGGTGATGTCAGATTTAATTAGGGGAAGGGCAAAAATGTAATCTGGAGTCCTATTTAGAAATAAATAAACTTATACTCCTATTTTGGAGTTTAGTCAATGTTTTAGTCCTGTTTTGGATAATTTCTTTACTAATAATAAGTAGTAATATTTTTTTCCAAATAATTAATACGGAATGACAATCATAATATCAAATATCAATTAATATATAAATTAAGAAAGAAAGAGGTAGTAAAACAGCCAAAAAGAATAGAGGAAGGTAGTTGATCGGGTGATGTGATGATTTTTAATTTCATTTGTCTTATGTCCTCGTTGAGAAAGAAATAAGGTACACTTCAAAAAAGACCTGTAACGTTTACAAACATATACGAAATGGCTAGATGGTGGGACGGTTATGCACGAAACCTTCAAAGTTTTGAAACTATAACCTACTAGTCTATTGTTTTATATAGTAAACCTGAGTTATAGAATGCTTATGTGTGATCTTCTGATTGGTTAAACAATACAATAATATTTAACAATTAATTATTACGTAATAATTCCGTAACTTCTTACCGAAAGGTAAGCATAGTCACCCGTGGTTGGCTCTTTGGTAGCAATTGATTAATTTGTTTGAAGTGGAACACCAAACTTTTGGGACTCTACATACAATATTTAATTCATATGCACTACGATAACTTTTAATTCTTTTAAAAAAATACTTTAAATTTTGAATGTCACTATTACTCTCTCCGTCTCAATTTGATGGTCCCGTTGCGGTTTATGATACTTAACCGATGAGAAAATAAACAGATCCCGGTCTGTACTCAAATCATTTGTTGTAAATAGAATTTTACATATTCAGAAACTACATAAAAAAATTTACAAAGTCGCAAAAGAAAAAATCAATTTTGATAAAAGTTTGATATATAAAGTAAGAAATTATAAGTGATTTGTGTTGACCAAATGAATAAGAACCGGTATCATCAAATTGGGCCGTAGGTAGTAATTCAAATTATTTCTATTTTAACCTACCAGCTTGGGAAAATTGTTCCATTACTTGAATTTATTTTCATTTTAACCTATTTTCATTACAACTAACGTTTATAATAGATTTTTCAAGAAGTAATTCCGAGTAAACTTGCCAATTGGAATTATTTTTAAATCTCTAAGATAACAATTATTTTTAAGATTGCGCTTGATTTATGTTTAGAATTCTTTTATATGGAAAACGTCTAAAAGGGATCTGACTTCTCAAATTTTAGCAAAAATAGATAACTCTTCTAAAACTATTGCAAAATAGAGTATTAATTAATTCAGATTTACAATTAATATTTCATATCAAATTACTAAATGTTAGGAGTAAAGTCGTTCAATTCAAAAATATAAGCAAACACGTATAGCAAATTTGAATTAAGCTTCAGTCGAATTTCACATTCTACACCTAAACATTAAGAGGTCATTTAGCAACATTGTTTTTTGGCTTATCGAACAACTTTTTTACCAAACACGTAACTTTCGTTTTCACGCGTTGAATTGTGTAATAAACAGAAAAAATAAGATTGAAGTTACTTTTCTGGCTGTATTGGCTGAAGTTAATGTAGATGACCATTTTAGCTATTTTATAATTTTTTCTTTATTTTATTAATAAAATATATTTTAAAAATAATGTTTCATAAATAAGCAGGATTAGCCAATGCAGACACTTCAGCTAGAACTTAATAAATTTCAGCAGAATCAGCCAATTTTCGTGCTACCAAACGGGCTCTAAGAGTCTGTTTGACAACTCCTATTTTAGCTTATCAGCCTAATAATTTTTTTATCAAACACACGTTTTTTTACTCCGTCCGCTAAATTGTGTTATAATCAAAATAACTTAAATAAGTAAGGTTGAAGTTATTTTTTTGACTGGATGACCATTTTACTAACCCACACTGACAAAAATTATAGCCTATCTATGTTATTTAGATGTCTTCCACTGATATAGTCCAACATTATTTTCAATGCATTTTTAACATATAGTCATGACTCATGACTCACATTCTATACAAAGTGGTTTGATTTTTGGGATAAAGATCAAAATGGACATTAAGGTTATTTATGAAGTTCAAAATGGACACTAAGCTTTTATTTGGATCAAATTAACACAATATTGACCTTTTAAATCACATTTGGACACTATTGACTTGGTGGTGCTCAAATATGTTAACGGAGTTTACAAATCTTAACAAGTTAAAAAGCCGACTTCATTCTCACCTACTCCCTTTTGCTCTCCTCTCCGATGCGTGCCCGTAGCCTGATGAGATCATGAGAGTCTGATAATATAAGAATCTGAAATATGGAGCATTCGGATTCAGATGCAAACTCGGGCAAATGAACCAACTCATGTTTTCTACACTTATCCCTAACTTTGGTTCGGGCACCTAAAGGATGAGTCTGGAATGCTTTCCTTTCTTCTCACAGGTGCAGCCTTGCAGGGGCATATAACCTTTTGAATACCTAAATCTCATGCCACTCCTGTTTATGAAAGATCCTGATTGCAAGCATTGATGAAATCATCAACTCCCATCATCTCTAATTTTTAATTTCTTCAATTACTTCAAAGTGCAATAAAACTAAACATACAGAGTTAGCTACAATTAACTTAATTTCCATTTTCTGAGTTCACTAAATTTCTCAAGAGAAATTTAATTGCCTAAAGTTAGCGGATTCACGAATGTTCTTCTATGTTGGATTAGCCAAATTTGTTTTCAGCTTCCTTGAGAAAGGATCAGGGTTGTGAGTTTCGGTACTACCCAGCACTTGTATCCATTTGCCCCTTCTGAATATTGAGAGAGAGATGAGTTATATCAGAAGAGAATGTATTAGGGATGGAGGATGTCTACGCTTTTTTCATTGACATTTTGAAAATTGACAGAATTGAAGCATCGTTAAACACAGGACTGATAGTGTCCAAATGTGTTGTAAGAGGATGACTTTTGTGTCTATTTGGTCTACTTAAAAGCTTAGTGTCTAATTTGAACTTCTTAAGTAACCTTAGTGTCCATTTTGGTCTTTTTCCCTTGATTTTTTATTAGACCCTTCAAAGGCACCAATAAAAAATTGCAAAGTTCCAAAAAACAGTAGAGCGTACACTATGCGGTTTGCATCCATTTCGTTGAGAGGACCACAAGGGCATAAACCATATCAAATGCATGTTAAAAATTATCACTTGATGAGTAGTTTACTACCAACCGATTCTAACAAATTAAAGTCCTCACAACTCTATATTTTTGTTACAAAGAAAATATACTTCATAGTTCATGTATTAGAATTTAGAAATGATTTAACACATTTATAATTTCATTTATTTTCAAAATCACTATAAGTCATATACACATTAATGCTTTTGATTGATCATTCTCATATCTTAACAACATATTAGCACTCATATTCTTCTTTACTAACAATATATTTTTACATGATGGCGTGAATAATAGTAATTGATGTTTATCATTTTAATATTTATCAAAGTGACACTACCGGGGCATGCCCCGGGTGTGACACTAGTATACATAGTATTTGAAAGCCTAAAATGACGTGAGGCTTCCGTCTTGAACACTTCAACTATAAAACGAACTAACGAAGTAACACCCAATAGAATATAAAGAAATTCCGAAGTCATATACTCCTTCCCTTTGCACTTAAAACTTTACAAATTTTCCTCCTCTTAATGTCAAGTCTTTTGATAAGAGCATAGCATTTCCAGCCCATTTGAGAAGCAAGTGAATGAGAGCCAAAATGACATGTATTTTACGCGTTATGTATTATATAAACTTCATCCATTCCTCAAGATCAGATCCAGATATTACTCTAGCCTCAGTCCTAGTTTCGTTATTATGGTTGGCTCGGACAAATACGTACCAGTGTTGGTATAGTCGGAAAGATTATTTCTGGCTGCCTCTTCCTCGTACCTATTAAAACATTTTCGGACATTAGGATGAATTGAAGAAAGACGTGAACGGTTACCAGCTTTACCTTGCGACGGTATTGAATTGTATGTTGTGGGTGTTTTAAAGCCTTTCAAATTGTGAAGCCCGACAGTCTCCTTGTGGTCACCATCAATGACTTCATAACTATAATGTGGGTCCCTATGAAAAATGATAATGATTATAAAAAATGACAATGACAATGACAAGCCGACGAAAAAAAAGAACAACGACACGATCCAGAAGAAGTGTCTAATTGTGAGGAGGAGTGTTAAAGTCTCACACTCGGAATTGTGAAGTACTTTAATGAAGTGCTATATTAAGATCTGAGTTATTTTTGCTATCGGGTTGATCTTTTAGGATAGAACTCCAAGTTTTAACATAATATCAGAGCCAAACCAATCCATAATCATGGTGTTGGACCCCTTATGAAAATGACAATAAAATTATAAAAATGACAATAACTAAATGGTGAAAAAATGAATGACGGCACGATTTAGACGAAGAGTCTAGTCGTGAGGAGGGGTGTTATTGTGCCACGCTTGATATCACTAAACAATTAAACACTATATTAACAAATCATTAAGTATGTACATCATTTACCTATTTATTTAATAATATTTCGCATATGCTTCATTTTTACTTTGTACTTCATTCGTCCTTTAAAACTTTGGTCAATCATGTTCAACTTTGACCGATTATATATATTTTTATAGGAAATTATTTATAATATAATAGATTGTATAGAAACATTCTTTGTTAAAAGCAATTTTATAAAAGTACAAAACTTATCACTCTCATAATATTATTCTAATCAAAATCATGGTCATAAATTTAACACCATTGACTTGAAAAGTTAAAGATGACAAGTTTTTAATTAGCGACGGAGGTAGTATATTTTTTATTTTGTTTAAGTTTTAAAGCACACACCCTGTATAAATAATTAAATAAAATTTATATTGTGCATCGCCAATGTTCTAAAAGGTGCTAGGCGCTAGTCGGGCGTCAGCCCAACGCCTAGCGCCTAGGAGGCTAGGTGGGCGCCTAGTCCGGGACTAGTCAGATACATATAAATAGCATTTTTATCTCTATTTTTGCATAAATGTGATAAATAATATTGTTTTCTTGTGTGTATAAAATACATATATACACATATATTAATATACATTAGTGATAGAATTATCACATTTAATCATACGTAGTATATGATAATTAATCACTTAACATCATTATGTTATAAATATAAATAATAATAATATTTAGGTATATATACAAACATATGTAGTCTTTATCTTATTTTACAACTTCATTTCTTTATATCTGGGGCTAAAGTTAAAGTACTTATATCACTTAGAAAATTAAAATTATAAAGTAAAGTAATGTTCGGCGAATCTAGATGACCTAGGTGGCTTATTAGGCGCTCAGGGCGGGCAACTAGGCGCCATAGGCGGTCGACTAATTCACCTAGATGGAAAACCAATTAGTCGGAGCGCCTAGGCGAAAATCAGGGCGCCCGACCACCGCCTAGCACCTAGGCGGGGTCTAGTCAGACGGCTAGAACGATTTTTAGAACTCGCACATGTGAAATACAAGTTTGTGTTAAGGAGGGAGAAATAATTTCAAACATATTATCTATTATAAACGGAAATGACAAATTAAAGTTTTTAGGGCGATTGAATAAGTAAGACATATTTTTGTTAAAATGAGATACTTTTTCATTGAAAGGAGGTATAAATTATTATATAGAGAGATTATTATTATTATTATAAAGCACCATCCATAAAATGATTAAGAACCCGAGATAAATAAGGAAGAGGTAAATGCCAGCCACAACTACATGTTAAACGTCAAACAAATTCTCTTTAAAATGTTCAACACTAATTATATGCATTCTCTTTCATTTTGTGTTCCCACGCATGCATTAATGGCTATTCTCTAGCCAACTTCAATCTAGCTAGAGGTGGTCCGGTGGTTGCATGCGCCACCGTCAAATCCAATCACCCGACAACATATATGCATTTTGCAGGCAGGCGGTAACTAAGGATCCTTTAGTTCAATCTCTATTAGTACATACATATATACAATTTGAAGAATATATAAGTACGGATAGCGAATTCATGATGATGGTGGTCCCTCATCAAGAAAGCGGGACCCTCATTACCGCCGTGGCCATAGACAAGGATAAGAATAGCCAATACGCCGTCAAATGGGCTATAGAGAACCTCCCCAAGAAATCCCGCAATCTAATCCTCGTCCATGTCATTGTCCAACTAAACATGCAATCACGTAGGTATTTTTCTCCTTTAATTAGATTGATACACTACTAACTATTTACATATGCCCAGAATGTTTCCAAATTGTTGAAAATCAATGATTCTTAATCAAATGAATTAAATAAAGATGATCTATTTCTTTTTGTAGAGGACTATGTCACCAAAGAAGGCCGCCCACCAACAAATGATGAAGTGCAGAATATATTCTTGCCTTTTCGTGGTTCTTGTGCTCGAAAAGGGGCAAGTCTTTCTATCAATCTCTGCACACATGCACACATCTATTATGAATAACTAGTTTTTCTATTTTTAATAGTCAAACATTTTATGCCAAATTCACCTCTACCAAATGGGTTTTAATCCTACAAAAAGCTAGATAAACCATAAACTAGTGATAATGTAACTTGTATAATAAGTCTATATGAGGTTTTGTGCTCACTTTGAAAGGAAATGCATGGTTGATAAATGTACTTATGGATTCATTCAGGTGACGGCGAAGGAGGTGGTACTTGTGAGCCTTGACGTAATTAATGCACTCGCAGAATATATATGTGCTAGCTCCATTAGCACCATCGTTCTTGGAGCTTCAAGCCGGAACGTTTTGGCAAGGTATTCCTATTCCATGATATGATCTACAAATGTTTCAGAGATTTTGGTTTTGAATTCAGACATTCTAATCCTTGACTTGCATGTATATGATAGAGCATTTAAGAATGTGGATGTCCCAACAGGCTTAGGAAAATTTGTTCCAGATTTTTGTTCTGTCTACGTGGTCTCCTCACGAGGGAGAGTTCAAAACATAAGAGTTGCTACTCGACCTCCCGCACCAAGCAACTATAGCAGGCAATCGTCTCAGTCAAGTTTATGTCTATCTTTTCCTGATACAGTTTCTTCTTCTACAGATTTTTCCAGGTTAGAATACTACTTTTGTCGTCTATAGCTTGGATCAAAACATTATGGCTTCATTTTCTTAATCATAAAAATGTTTTATTTGTCCAAATTTTATGATTTTCTCGTCCTCTTAGGAAATTGTGCCTTGTTAGAAAGATGTTCCCTCGATAATATTTTTCTGGAAAAAAACCCCAAAAGCAATTATTTTTCTTGAAATAAAAGGGTTTTGAATGTGTAATACTTGTTTGCCTTTAGTAATATTAACTGCCTCTTATGGATGTTTACTACATCTATGACTAATATACATGTATGAGATAAGCCTTACATCTTGAGATTTTTTTGTGTGATTTAGGACCAATTAATACGGCATTAGCTAAGAGTATGGTGTGTTACTGGTTTATTTGTTTATATGATGTACACCGTATAATCTAGAGTATGCATGTAAAGGTCGATTTGGTTCATTTATCCACCCTCAAGCTATCGAATCTGGTTTAAACTTGGTTTGGATTGACGGGATGTGTTAAAAGTCTATGACATTGACTAATACATTAGTATGGGGGTAAACAATACCTCATGATGATCCTTTTGAAATGCAATCATGTGAGTGAACCAGTGATTGTTAGTCATGGTTTCTCCATGTTATTGAGACTACTATGATTGATCAATGTTGCAAATTTGAATTGTAGCAAATTTGAATTGTAGTGTCTGCGTATGTTGATTCTTAATAATGTTAATAAAAAAATCAGCCAAGTGACATGGAAATCTGGAGGAAGCTTAGCAGATACAGATTCCTTCCATAGTGGGTTCTCAGAGAGGAAAGGAGGGCCATGTGACAATGGTCATCATAACAGAAAGAATCCACTATCACCGCCATTATCCAACCACAGCTTTGAGTCTACATCAAGAAGCCAATGGGAAAACTTGTCTAGTACTACTAGCAGCAGCAGTGACAATAGCCAAATGGCTCCACTCAATAGGCAGCTCGGCAGTAAAGACATGTCTTCCTCTTCTCCGCAGCAATCCATGTATAATAAGACTTCTTCCCCTTCATGTCCTCCTTTCAAAGCTAATACAATGCTGAACAATGTGAACCAACGAGGTCGTAGTAGAGATACCTCATTTTGTTCGGTGGCTGAATCTGAACTTTCAGGCCCAACAAATTACTCCTCCAGTGTATCCTATGAATACTCTTCTATTTCAGAAGCTGCTGGTAACTCCCACTCTTCAAGTGTAGGGGTAAGTTCACAAACACAATCATACGTTCATTTGATAGGTTGGTTTATGTGCTTGTTAGTCATATTTTCTACTAACCACAAACGTTTGGTAGTCAAACTTTTCTGCATATCAATAAAGTAGCGTTTGACATACTTTTTTTGGGGATTAAGTGAATGTTACTAAACTTTTCCCTTAAGAAAACTTTGTAGATTTAGCAATTTTAGCCCAATACGCTAACCACTCATGACCTCACCTAGCTAATCTAGTTTAGCTGTTTGATAATGGGGGGATAGTGCAAGCCACCTTTTTCTTAAAATGGTTGAAAAGAAAGTAAAATAACAAAATAACTCCTCTAGCATCATTTCATACACTATTAAAGAATATTATATTTCAGTCAAATTTTACATTGAGTTCATGAATTCTACACCTCTAGCATCTTTCAGTTCCTGTTGAGGAGAAATGAGATGAATTTATAAAATATCTATATGAAGGCTGTTAGCAACCTCTACAAAGTAATTTATTTTACGAATAAAATGTTCCATCTAACTAGATCGAATTGTGTTTCCACTTCCCATGATACATTCAGGTGGAAGAAGATGAAGAAATTAAAAGACTAAAACTGGAATTGAAGAAGACCTTAGATAGGTTAAATGAAGCTAGAAGACAATCAAATACCCCTAAACCGATGGTTAGTAGATCAACATATGATCATAACCCATTCTCAAATATAATTTGATAAGCCATTATAAAATGTAATTTGATGTAATTAAATGCACTTGTATATGTACACTAGATATATGCTCAATTACATTACATTATACTACATTTTATCAAATGTTTCCTAAGGACATAGATCAACGCGATTGAAATTGATTTGGCAGGTAAGGAAAGTAGATGAATGGAAGTCAGAAGAGATGCAAAGATTAGAACATTACAGACGGACTCAAGAAGATGAACTAGTCACTATGGAAAGGGAGAAACATAAGACAAAGGAAGCACTAGAAATGGGATATCACATATCAGCGAATGAGGTACAATATAGAAGATACAACATTGAAGAGATTGAAATTGCAACAAATTATTTTTCAAAATCGGGGAAAATTGGAGAGGGCGGATATGGCCCTGTCTATAAAGCTATATTGGACCACACGTCTGTTGCTATTAAAGTCCTGAGGCCTGATATTCCACAAGGGCACAAACAATTTAAGCAAGAGGTATTTCAAATTACTTTACTTCAGATCATATAAGCATGTCGGTGATGACAAATTGAATGTTTTTTTATGTATTGAGTTCATGTATAAGCGTGTAAGGTAAACCTCGGCTCTTGAGAATTCTATTGGGGTGGGTTACTTAAAGCAAGTTTAACATGGTGTTTTAAGGTATCGTATTTCGGTTAATTTGGACTCATTTTTCTACCTTATTTGTTATCCGATCTAGATTTGTCTAAGGGGTGTATTTTGAGTATTAGAATTGTGTCTTAGGGTGTAGTTCATTTGGAATCACTTTGAGCCCATTTTTCAACTTTACGTCTATACAAGTATCACATAAGTCTCACCTCACTAGATAAAACACTTGATGATATTATAATCTAGAAAAATGGTAGTTTGTGGGATCCCCATGCATTGAAAGGTTTGCACGACTCATTTATGCATCATTTTGATCACATTTGTCAACACATTCACTAGTTTAGTCCGAATTGGGCTGTAATTTGTTGTTTAATGATCTTGAGTCTAATCTAGTATATAAGTGTGAGATCAACGTTACCTTTTTACTTTCTTTTTTGTGTCTTAAACTTGATTTAACAACTTTCATGGTGCAGATTGAGGTTCTCAGTCGAATAAGGCATCCAAACATGGTCCTCTTGTTGGGTGCATGCGACGAGTACGGTTGTCTTGTATATGAATATATGGAAAATGGGAGCTTAGATGATAGACTATTTTGCAAGAACAACACCACACCAATACCATGGATGACCCGTTTCGCAATAGCTGCAGAGATAGCAACCGCCCTCAACTTCCTTCACCATGCGAAACCTGCCCCACTTGTCCACCGTGATCTCAAACCAGCAAACATTCTCTTGGATAAAAACTATGTGAGCAAGATTAGTGACGTGGGGTTGGCAAGACTTGTCCCGCCATCTGTCGCCGACTGCGTCACTCAGTATCAATTGACGGCAGCAGCTGGGACATTCTGTTATATTGATCCGGAGTATCAGCAGACTGGGAAGTTGAGTACGAAGTCAGACATTTACTCTTTGGGAGTTTTGTTATTGCAGATAATTACCGCCAGGCCTCCGATGGGTCTAAAGCACCACGTCGAGAGAGCTATAGATGATGGTAAATTTGGAGAGATTCTTGACCCGGCAGTAAAAGATTGGCCCATTCAAGATGCGATGGCTTATGCAAAAGTGGCTTTGAAGTGTTGTGAGCTGAAAGGGAGGGATAGACCAGATTTGGGTTCAGTCGTATTGCCTGAGTTGGAGCGCCTAAGAAACATCAGCTATAGAAAGAATCCCCTCAATTAAAATTGTCAAGAAACTTTTTACCGCTAAAACATGTAAATGTGGTAAACAACACTGCAAGATTGAACACAACTGATTCATCAGTTTAACTAGAGTTCTTATAAATCCAATGTCTTTCTTTACTATTTCAATGTAACACTCTTATGCTTAATAACTAAGTATGAGTGGGAACCATATTACGTAACATAAATAACATATTCTTACCAAAGAAGAAAGATCTATACTAGGATTACCATTATAATAAATACATAGCATTACCTTGACATTATAATACTAGGATATCGATTCTCTATATCCAAGGAGTATGCATTCACATCTATAATTTCAAATCCAACTCTTACCACCAATGTTGACAAGTATTTCTCCGTGAAGTTGAATGAGCACTGAAAAGGCAATAAAAATCATACTAAGAAATTAGAGTTGTAAATCATTCATAAATGACATAACGTAATGTCAATTCATAATCTTGTTGCATACTAAAAACTAACACTTAGAGCTCCATTTCCTTCCAAATGAAAGTTATGAGTAATCATTTGGTAAATCTTGTGCAACTTCACTTGGAAACATTTGGGAAGTGAAAATACATAGGATAAAAGCTTATTGCTTTAGGTTTTTAGTTCAAGGTTTAAAACAAAAATAATTTTTTATTTTGTTTTTGTGCAATAAATGAAATAAAAGGATCTTATTGACAAATTAAAAAGAAGTTGTTCATTGGGGAAGCTGATATAACATGATGTCTTGGGCAAAACCTTCAAATGCGTATTCTCAAAACTATTTGGTTACAAATATAAGTGATATAATGATATCAACATATCTATGAACTCAAAATGGGGGGGGGGGCATAAATCAATAAGAAGAAATACAAAGGATTTTGTTTTAATTTAATGAAAGAGTGCATTTAGTACTTCACCACGGTTATCTGACGCTTTGGAGAAATTGCAAATAACGTAAAGATCTACCAAGAAGCTAGGTGTAGCTTGTAAGAGAACATAAATGCACATGAACAATAAACATAGATGAGAAAACGGCACACAAACATTAAACAATTAGGATATAATTACATATATAAAACTAAAATAAAAATTGTTTACGAAAATGTGAATATTGACTATAGTAGTAACTTAATCATAGTAACATAAGTTCAACTTTTATGTTTAATGACCATGACACTATGATGTAATAACTATTCGTCATATTTATGTAAATAAGTTTTATATTAATAATATTTTAGAAAAAACTCAACAATTAGTTGAAGAGTTATACCCGTGGTATATAAACTATATACATAATGCATCATTAACCATGGACTAATATATTATGTTAAGGTGACAAATTAATTACACCCTTAGGAGATGAAAAAAACAACCTTTAAGATCAAAGTGTTGTGTTACACGTGTCATCTACTGAAATAAAATAAAGAAAAACAACCGAAATTCGTCAAATGGAAAATTATGAATTTAATCAATGAATATAAGTAAGAGTCTGATTAAAAGTAACAAATAAGTTAGTACATTGATAGTTACCTCTGCCCATCTTTACAAGAGTGACAACATCAACCGTTAAAGATATTATTCCAGCACTAAGATCATCCACTACTTCGCTGTAGTATCATAGACAAAGACATTTATTCTCCAACATTGAAATTTTCACAGACTATTAATAAAATTATTCAATGTAAATTTACATACCAACTCTCTAATTAAACATGTACTTTTATCCCTAATTATGCATACTACATTCCATTGATCACTAAGTGTGAGTTTAAAACACGGAGAATGTCACGCCCCAAACCGCAATCCAAGCGCGTGTACAACCGCCGTATAATCAAGTGACGTCACCCGCGAGTCAACCTCACTCAATTACACAAGGCGTTCGAGAAAATAATCCATCCATACTCAGTAGTAAACATACATAACAACATCACATTTAAACCAATGAATAGCGGAAATATTCAACGGCAAGTCATAAGCCACAAACGGCCAATAACATGGGCATGCAAGCCCCAAAAATAGTTTATAGTAAAACAAATATCCATGAGCATGTGTTCGGTAGTTTGAAAGAAAATAAGGAAGCACGAACCACGTCTTCCTGAAGTTGATATCACCCGTAAGAAGGTGCAGGTAGCAAGCCCTAGCTTCAACCTGAAAAATGGTGCCCCCCCCGAAGGGGTCAGTACAAGTACCGAGCGAGTAGCAGGCTAAATATAGAATAACTAGCGTTTCAAGTATAAGACCCAAACATAGGGTGATACTTATATGAATAGTCTCCCCCCCAAGTTATGAAATACTTATTAGTACATATATACTTGGAAAATAACCGATCCGTAGATCACCGTTTTATTTGGGAAAAATAGTTATAGTCAATATTCTTGACTTAAAACCCCAACCCACCCAAATACCTATGAGTGTATAGGACTCCTCCTTGTCCCTATTTCAATATCATAATCTATGAGTTTTGAGGATCATAATCCCTGGGTACTCCACCAACTTATATTTGAGTGTTAAGGACTTTTAGTCCTAGGGTCCTCCACCAATTTATAATCCAAGTGTTAAGGACTTTAAGTCCTAGGGTCCTCCACCAATTTATAATCCGAGTGTTAAGGACTGTAAGTCCTAGGGTCCTCCACCAATTTATAATCCGAGTGTTAAGGACTTTTAAGTCCTAGGGTCCTCCACCAAATTATGAGTGTTATTAAGTACTTTTAAATACTAGGGTCCTCCACCAAAGTATGAGTGTTAAGGACTTTTTAGTCCTAGGGTCCTCCACCAAATCTTGAGTGTTAAGTACTTTTAAGTACTAGGGTCCTCCACCAAAATATTTTCCTATGATCAACCTCCTATCAACTTAGATAGAGTCTATATCATACGTAGTTACTCATAACTAATTCAATACATAAAGCTTATGTATCACAATCCATGCAAAGCCATGCAATTATATAAATGTATAATTAACTAATATCAACCGATATTAATTAATCCATTATCCATCAGTCAACGTTGTCGTTGACCGCCATTTCAAGTCTTACACTTATCAACTTAATCATCATGTAATTAAGTTAATAATATTCATTGGTGCTTCTTATACATTTCAAACAAATATGCATTTTATATAATTCTTCATATCATATTCCATGCATAAACAATTTACTTCTTTCATACAAACTTAACCCTATTGGCTAATCACATGTTTAAATATCTTTTAAACATCATTATGAACTCATATAACATTTATTTAGGTAATCTCATAATTAACCCAAAAGTTATAAGATATTAAGCCGTCCATTCACCTTGAACTAGCGTTATGAAGTTCTACCCTTCTTGGTTGAACTCCGGTGAAACTCCGGCGACTTTTGGTCAACTCCGACGACAATTCCGGCGACTTTTCCAACCTTGTGAAATCACTTGAAATACCCTTTACAAGTGCCTAACAAGGTTTTTGTCACGCCCCGCACCTACCGGACACGTCAACAACCCGCCGTACAGTACGAATAGTCAACCGCAGTCCAACTCATCCATACTATACTAGGCGTCTTGAATACCATTCACAATAGTGCATCCATAAACAATCATAATGTAAAGTATTCATTTAAAGCAGCGGAAACATTCAATAAAGTGTTTATGCCACACTTTGGCAAACATGGGCATACAAGCCCCCAAATAATTATTCAAAAATAATATCCATGAGCATTAATTTAAATGTTTTTAAAACAGAGGCGGAGGAAGCACGAACCACGTCTTCCTTCCTGGATCTTCCCGAAGCAACGGGCACTGGTAGCAACCTTCAAGTTCTACCTGAAACTGTGAGGTGGCCTCCCCCCTGAAGGGGAGGTCAGTACTTGGAAGCATTTGACAAGTACAATGACAACTATACCAAGTATAATCAATGTTTCAACTTCCAAGACCCTCAAATAGAGTGATATTATATTATAGGCCATAACCCTTGGTTACCCTCTTTGAAAATATACTTACTTTATATATAAAGTCAAGTAGTCGGCTCGTAGGCCCATATGCGTTTTGAAAGTCCATCCCCCTTTCCCCCGTGACTATTGGTCACGAATGTCATAAACCTCATGTAAATTTATTCATAGTCATAGGGCATTACCCTATTACGTAAAATAAACATCGTAGAGCCTCGCTCGATTATATTACTATATCAAGCTAGAGCCTCGCTCCTAGTCTCCCTACATCGTGCTAGAGCCTCACTCTTAGTCGCCCTACATTATACTAGAGCCCCGCTATTAGTTGGTCTACATTGGCTAGAGCCCCGCTCTTAGTCCATCTACATTATATTAGAGCCCCGCTCTTAGTTTATCTACATTAGCTAGAGCCCCGCTCTTAGTCAATCTACACTAGCTAGAGCCCCGCTCTTAGTCAATCTACATTAGCTAGAGCCCCGCTCTTAGTCAATCTACGTTGTGCTAGAGCCCCGCTCTTAGTCACCATTTTGACATGCTAGAGCCCCGCTCTTAGTCACATTATTCAACCCCTAAGCAATTTCTATGCCTAGAATCGATTTAGTTTGAGTAGCCTTTAGGGCCTACTCCTAATATACTTAGAGCTCACACATCTCAACCTTAAAGTATCTCTTGGACTACTCAAAGTATAAATTCTCACAACCCAATTCATTTGGATTAATCTATTGTTTATCATATTAACATCTCGGCTAGTATTTAAATACTAATTGAATAATCTTAGAATAACCGAGTTCTCAACCCATAGACACATAGTGCATTCCAATTGATCTTCCAATTCAAATATAATTTATTCTCAATATCAAAAATATCACTTTTGCCCATTCATGAATTCTTTACATGGAGCAAAAGTATATTTTATCACCATATTCATAGTTCACTCAACTATCATGACATCATATTCATAATCACCTAATCATACACAATTCATTCATAATTTGTATATAATACTTCATTTACTCGTAAGCAATAGTATTCTCATTTCGGCATTATTAATCAATAATAATCCATGAAAATCACATTTAAATACTTTAGGTAATCTTATGAAATTAACCCAAAAATTATAAGCAATATAGTCAGCCATCCTCACCTTATGAAGTGCTGAAATAGTTGCCTTTATTAAGCCCTCCGATCAATCCCCGTTCTAAACCGATTGGAGATGAAAATCCTGGGTAGCAGACGAAAGCCGGGCGGCTTTCACAAAAGGTGGGCGGCTTTCGTGGTCTGCAGCTACGAACAGCCTCCTATACTTGGCGGTTTCCGGCGGTTTCAACTC